ATTATTTGGGATTAAAATCAGGCTAGAATGGTTAAATCAAACATTGTAATTCTTGGTATCAAATAGGTTAATTCCTAATCAAGTTCGATATAATCATCTAGAATTGAGTTAAAATGCACTAGAAGTTTGAATTTGATAATTGATTTATATAGCTAAAATTGATTCGTGGACTGTTAGAAAATCTTTTTGGATATCTTTTGGATTTTTGTCTCAGAAACCCATTTTTTCCCTACTCAAATGCCTAAAGAATTTGCTATTGAATCGAAATTGAAGGTGGTGGATTAAAAAAATGGGTTGAAATATGATGACATACAATGTATAATTATATAGAATCTGTGATGCATCATTGTATATTTTTAGAAATAATATTATTTAATATTTTATATGAAAATTATTATAAGTTTAAATATTTTATTTAAATTAAAATACTAAACTATAATAATTTTAAAGATGCATTATAATTATACAGATATACTTTCTACTGCAATATTAAGTGTTTTACGAAGCTATGAATATTTTGATTAATATCGCATATTGGTTTTTAATTACCATCCACTTTAAAAAAAGCATTACTACTCTTAAATCACAAACATGTACCTTTGCAAATGGTTATTTAGGTTTAGTATGATTAGAAGCAGCTATTAAGAAATTACCTAAAAATTATTATCAAATATTACGACATAATTGTATTACAATTTTTAATCAATACTTAAGTGAATTTGATGATATATATATTTGCTATGTTTTTTTTATATTCAGGTATTAGTTGTAAGTAATTTTAAATTAATTTTATTTATTTTTATAATTAATATATTAATATTAATATATTTTAATAAGTCAGGTATTTAAATAAGGTATTTTGCGTCATATTCTTATGACATATGATTAAAGTTGCTGGACAAAATCCAGAGTTTAGACAGACATCTAAATGGTAAAGATAAAACTTGGTTAAATTATATTAAAACCTTATTAAAAAATCTGCGAAATTCAGAAAAAGGTAAAACTATATCAAAACTTATAAAATGGTAAAACTATATCAAATACTTAGTAAAAATTTAGTGAAACTAAAGGTTTAACTGTTTTGCTGAATCCAAAATGAGTTTAGACAAGCAATCTTAATGACAAGCTTTCTAAAAGTATAGTGATCTTTTGATATTTTTAAAATTGCAATTAGTTGGAGAACATAAGATTTAGAATAAGCTTATTTTAATTATAAAATATAGCCTCGCAGTAATCATATGAATTTTCTACCCACATGAGTGGATTAGCAATTAAATATTTAACTTACTAGAATTTTTTTTTTAATATAGGAGGTCATGCTTCAGGAAGCTATGATAGAGAATCAAGCAGATCTAAAGGTTGTGGTAGAGGCTGTGGTAATGAACCAACTAAAGGTTGTAATAGCGGTCATAGTAGAAGCTGTGATGATGAATCAACTAGAGGTTATGGTAATGATCATAGTAGAGACTGTGGTGATGAACTAAGTAGAGATCATGATAGCAGTCACAGTAGAAGTCGTAGTGATCCTAATATCTCTCAGCTTCAATTAACTTATATTGAGGTGGCCTTTTTACCTTCTAATATTATAAGCCATCTTTAGTCACTTGATGTCAAGATTATTGCAAGCTTTAAAAGTTATTATAAGAGAAAAATTTGCTATCATATATTAAACCTATTTGAAGATGAAAAAGATATTCACAAAGAGAAAATCAATATTAAAGAAACAATTGATTATTTAGTAGATGTATAAAAGCAAATAACTGAAAAAACTATTCACAATTATTGGAAAAAAACCAGAATTTTACCTTCTTCAACTGATGAAGATATAGGTAATATAACACAAATCCAACAAAATTTAGCAGATCATGAAGAAGTTTAGATTAACCAAATAATAAAAGCAATTGAAAAGCTTAATAATGATCATTATAATGCTTTATTAAAAAATACATTGACCGATTATTTTTAGGAATTAGAAGAAATTCCAACTTAAGATGTTCTAAATAATAATAATATTATACAATTAGTCTAAAAAGAAATACATGAAGATGATAATACTAATGATGATTTTGAAGAAGAATCAATATTAATATCTCTAAATGTAACTTTCAAATCTTTACAAACTTGGATTACCTTTTTTAATCAATAGCCTATTGATGAATTTAACATTGAAGATGATTATATTTTTAAAAAATACTTAAATGTAGTAAAGCAGCTTGAAGTTCAATCTCAAAAGCAAGTTCTGATTACTGATTTTTTTAGTAGCTATGAAAATTAAATAGGAAATTATATAATGCGATAATATCTTTTTTACATGACTTAATAAAAATTATACAATAGTTCTTAAGAAGCTGTATCATAATGATTGTGTTAAATGAATAAAGTACGCAATAATATTTTTTATGATATCAAACGCTAATCCAGTTATGTGATTTTCATTATCACGTCACATAAATTGACAAATGAGAATCAGTATTTTATTCTTGTTTCGCAAATGTATTATGTGATATATAAATAGATGATATAAAGTTTAATAATATTAATTTAACCTCTAAATAGTCACTAACTTTTTGATTATAATATAGTTGTGATTATATATTGGTAACTTTTAGTAGAACTAATTGTGTGACTATATAGAGGTCTGACTATATATATAAAATCAAAAATTTATTTATTATGAGCCTTTACATTTAGAAAAAGCAAAATGTTAGAAATCAAACTTAATTATCTTGTTATTCCTAGTAAATGTCCAGTCAAGAGAATCACATAATATCATGTCATTATAATAAAATTGACAATAGCAAATCTATCTATTTGCTTAGAAAACAAATTAAAGAAAAATACTTACCTCAATTTAATGATATTTCAATTACTGAATTTGTGATTTGTGTAATCAATTTAAATTCAAATAAAAAAGAAGTATTAATTAATGCTAAATCAGTAATGAATAGTGTATAAAATAAGACTATAATAAGAAGTGAGCAATTCCTAATGTCTAATATTCTTAAACATTTTTCTGATCTACCTTTCAAAAAAGATATAGGTATTCAAGCATTTCAGTAGAAAAATATGATATGATATATTTGCAATTTTTATGTATTATAGGCTGATTTCTAGCAACATTTTTTTATTTCATAAATAAAATATTATTTTATGTACTTGTTGTAAAACTTGATAAGTTACATGTAATAATGTAATGTAATTGTCTGACAATTCTGTATTACATCTTAATTATATATATATATTGGACAAATGCATCATGAATTAATACAAAAAAATCTATCATTTTTATCTGACTGAAAACCTATATCTATAAACTAGCTTTACCTATAACTGTAGTCAAGTGCATATTTTTCATAAGCACAAACTCATTTATATAAAAATTATGTCTTCACAAGCCTCTATATTTTCTATATTTTCTTTTCCAAGCTTAATAATGGAAGAAATTTCTTCTCAAATAATGTCAGATATTGTTAAAGATTTTAATACAAAGGAGCTTATTGAATATTTTAAAACAAAATCTTAAAGCTAAAGGAGTCCTACTTCAAAATTTTACATAAAGAAGAAATTTCTGGCCTTGTCTTTCTTGATATAACTAAAGAAGAGTTTTGAAGTTATGACTTGAAAGCTAGTCCTACAACAACACTTGCAAAATTTATTGAAGGTCTCAGCCAGAAGTTATGAAACTATTCTTTGCTTAAAACTCTTGATAATCTGAAGAAAATATTACGTAGAAAAGTAAAAATATAATAAATATTAAGCAGTTTACTCCCAGTAGGTAATTAATTATTTTTTGAAACTGATTAGATAGCTATATTAACTTTATTTTACTCTGTAGTCTTCAAGAAGATTAGTGATGATAATAAAGCATTCAAATATTGTATGGAGAATATTTTCTTAAAACTTTAAATATGAAAACCATAACTGATGCTAACGAGATGACGTGTTGTGAATTTATTTCAGCAATATTATATGCATCAATCATCATCACTAAAAAATTACTTCTCAAGATAATTTTATAGTATTGCAGAAGGATATTTCAGGAGAAGATTTAATTAGCTGAGTTGAATATGCAATCAAAACTCTAGAAGACCTCTTATATATTATCAAAGGAAAGTCTCATAATATTAAGATCAGATATATGCAAGTGTGTCTACTATATAGATCTGTATTTTTAAGAAGATTTAATATTAACACATTTTATTTTTCTTAGAATCTGGCTCAGCTTGAAAGTATGTTTCAGACAAATAAGAAGAAGCAGACTGCGAATCAAACTTTTAGGAATGATTATTTGATTATATATATAGTATTATAACTACAGACACAGAATAGCATTTTATTATATATACTCCTAATATTATATACTCTAAGAGTAAAAGCGAATACTAAATTAATTTCACGAAGTCCGCCATTAAAGAAAATTCAGAATTACTTCAAAGCAATGTGAAAAGGGTAATAGATATTATTATTAGGCTATTAAAAGATCATGTTAATATAGATAGTTTACCAGCTAGTAAGAACACTAGAATCAAAAAAAATGATAAAAAAATAATATGTATCCTGGGCTATGTTCTAAACTATGTATTTATTTTCACTTATATCAATAAAAAATTTTTCTTGACAAAATTTCAATGAATATTATTTATCCAAAACCATATAAATTATGTATGTCACAATTGGTTAATTTAAAGTTTTATTAAAATGAATTTTTTATTTCAAGGAAAAAATATATTATACAAAAATTACACATTATTTCATATCTCTATTTTTTGATCTATGTTTATCCAATTCCCTTCAATTCATTTTCTTGCACGATCAAGTGTTTCTTTCTTAAAATATAGGTATATCATTATGTTATCTTTCCACCTCAACCATCCAAATAAATCTAAAGTTTTAAAATATTTTAAAATATCTTTATTATTCCATTCATCTATAGTCTCACCATAAAGGGTAAAGGATATCAAATTAGAATTAAAACTAGGAATCCTAATACCATATGAAAAGGATTTATAATAATTGTCCAGTAAATTAGAATTCTATCTTATTTTTTCTGAAATAGGCAGTAGTGGCTGCTTTTAGATTATGGGAAACACCTATAAATAATATATAATTTGGTTAGAGTGGTTAGTTAATTTTTAGTATAGCATATTCATTTGTACCTTTTTTCTAGAACTATACTTTAACTTTTCAGTTACGCTTTAAGGCTGATATTATATTAGGATAGTAGTTTTTATCATCAGCAACTAATATTAAGATACTAGGAAGTTTGAACATTACAGTATCATTAATGGCTACTTCTAACATAGAATCTATCCTTTTTCACGATTTTTAGTATTTCTGTTAAGTATATTAATATTATAGTCTTTCTTTCTGATAAAATCACACAATTCTTCATTAGAAGAACGAGAATCTATAAGAATCAGTTTATTCTTCCTTAAACGCCTATTAAGAACTATCTTAAGTAATAAATTATGATTTATGTGAAATTCATTTAACTACTGATATCCCTCTTTTAGTTGACAATCTAATTTTTCTTTTATTCTATCCATATATTTGCCTTAGATAAATAAATTGAAATCATCAACAAATACGTGAATATAATTGTTAGGCATTGGCTAAATCTAAACTGAAATATGAAATACTTGACTAAGACATTTTAGGTTCAAAGTGAAGGCAATAGACTATGAAGTTCTTAAGGTGAAAATGTTTAAATTTTGTAGAAAGGCACCTTATCAGGTTACTACCTGAGTTAAGAGAATCAGTATACTTACTGTTTCCCCTATACGTGATTTTCTTTTTTATTATGTTTTTTCCATAAATTTTAAGTGAACAGATATATTATTTTACTAATTACAGATTATACTCATAAGGATAATAACTAGAATATACAACAATTTTTTAACAAAGTAATTTCTACTCGATTGAAGATAGGTTGATGCTAACTGTGTTAATCTCACTACCTCCTGTTATTGATATTAATGATGATTGTAAACATTACAATAGATCTTACAACAACAAAATATTACAAATTTGAAGGTAGGTTTAAAATGATTTTATGCTTATAATTTTCCAATAGGTTTAATGGAACATTTATAATTAGTTAAAAGCCAAGATTATTGCGGATGAGAAAGGCATTAACCTTATGAAAGCATCATCTGATTTTCACAGATCTCAAATGATTGCAGAATAGTCACAAAATCTAAAATAATACATAAATGACGATGAAAACATTGTCTAAAGCAATCAATCATTATCAAGAAAAAAATGAGATGCTGAGAAATTATCTTCTATATCACTGAATAAGGTCTGAATATTAATTTATTGTTTAGTTTTCAGACCTGTTTTTTAACCCTTTTGAAATGCATGCACAAATCAGAAACATTAGTACTGTTAAATGAAATAACTTTTGACCTAATGATTATGATGGAAATATGATCATTAGAACTGCCTCATCGAGAGCTTTCCAATGAATATAAAAACAAGGTTATTGAACCAATAGGAGCTGAGATAATTCGAAAAGAGGGATTGTTATTATAATTCTGCAGATCACTACTAAAGAAAGCCGTAATTTCTTAAAGCCGCAGCTCAACGATCAAAATGACTGAAACCTCAGAAACGATGATAATGTTATTAACTAAGTTTATATATTTGTTTAAGTTTACTTAGTTTCTTATGTTTATTTAGTTAAATTAGTTAATATAGTTAACTAAGTTAATGAAGTTTATATATAATGTTTCTTTAGTTTTAATAGTTTTACTTTATCTTAAATTAGTAATAAAAGTAGATCAAATATTTTATATAAA